AATTTGAATAATAGACATAATATCTGGTCTTCCTTGTAGGTGTATGGATATTATCCTATCACTGACAATATTGTATTTAAGGATAGATCTTTAAATGTTCTTTTTGTTGATTGAATGTGACATCATTACTCTTCAATTTGTCATTCCTGGCATAGCAGACCATATGATTGTCAGATTCAAAATGGCCAGTATCAGTCCATATAGCTCATTAATGCCTAGAATATCAATTTTTATTGTTCCATTTCATTATTGTTAACTTCCAATTTTTCTAGATTCTTTCCTCTTACATTCATTCTTTTGATTGTTAATGAATATTTTCATCTGTTTCTTCCCATATGAGTTGTGCCCCATCAGTGAATGAAGTTCCCAAAAGCTTTGCTCCATCCATGTCCTTAAGATCAACTCTACTTTAAAGAGGCAGCTCATCCCCAGTCACATTTTGAGTGCCCCTCAATTTATGGGGCTCATCTTTTGGCACTATATTATACAATGTTTCACTTCTGTTCATAAAATTTCCCAGTAATATATCAGGCCATGTTTCACTGCTATTCATAAGGTTTTCAGGGGTCAATTTTTTCAGAAGGATAGCTCCTTCCTTGTTCCCAGTCTGTTTTAGTCTGGAAGTTTTGCAGAAAACTGTCCACTATGGGTGACCCTGCAGGTATTTGAAATACTGGTGGTATAGCTTCCAGCCTCACAGCAACATGCAGCCATCACAATAAAACTAACTGACAGACAAGTGATGGAGATATAGATATAAATAGATATGCTGTTGCTGTTGTTTGCCTTTGAGTCGGACCTGACTCATAGCGACCCCTCCTTGGCTTTCCAAGGTGGTATCACTACGGAAGTAGATTGCCCAACCTTCCTTCTGAGGAGTTGCTGGTGGATTTGAACTGTCAGCTTCTGGTTAGCAGTCAAGTGCCTTAGGCACTATGCTACCAGAGCTCCCATAGATAGATATAGATACATGTATATATCTATATCTATCTTTATACATATATCACAATGCTTTTCAAGACATTGCACATGATATAACAAAAGAAAGTGATGCCTGAGAGGCAAGGACAAGTAAAGTGAGTCCTATGATTGCCCTGTTAATAGCTGGAAGAATATTTCCAGGTCAAGCTGCAGGTAAGGGGCTGGGAGAAGTAGGCCATTTCCTGAATTGAGAAAACAGAACTGGAAGTCTGAAGGCCAGGGTGGTTAAAGTTTGCACAGCAGTGTATTGGAGAAGAAATACTGATCAGAGAGAGAACTAAGAATATCTGCAGAGGACCCCTCTAAAGTCTTCATGTAAGTTTGGATCAGCACATATAAGAAGGAAACTACCCAATGCTAGGGAATGTCCAGTTCACTTGTTGTAAGTAAGCAGTGAGCATGAGCCTCCTTGCCTTGTTCCTGTTCTTACAGGTAAATCATTCCATCTTTCACCATGAGTAAGATGTTTGCTGTAGGTTTTTTGTTGGTGCCATTTATCAGGTTGAGAAACTTTCCATTTATTTCTAAGTTCCTAAGAATTTTTTATAAGGAATGAATGTTGAATTAAAATAAAATACTTTCTGTATATCTGTTAGATAGTCTCTTAATATGGTGACTTACATTGATTAATGTTCTGATGTTAAACTATTCTTGACTTTTTGGAATAAGCTCCTTTTGGCCATGATGTATTATTGGATTTGATTTGCTAAAAATGTATTAGGAATTTTTATGTCACTGTTCATGATATATATGAATGAGAAAGAGAGCAGAGAAGGAGAACACTATCTATAGCTGCTCCTACTTCCATAGTGATACTGCCTCAGAAACCCAAGGAGGGGTCGCTATGAGTCAGGTCCGACTTGACTGCACATAACAACAACAACAACATCTATAGCTGCAATTTTCCTTTTTGTGTGTGTGCTATTTTGGTCTTAGCCTGTTTCTCACGTGTATGCCTTTGCTTATACTACTGCCTCTGATCTTCCCTTCCCCTGCTCTCTTTACCCTACATTCAGCTAGAATACACTCATTTCTCTTTATTTTTCAACTTAGAGATAAACTTTCCTGTGAAGACTTTATTGGCACCACTCAGTTTCCCAATTGACCCTTCCTCCTTTGTGTTCCCATCTTACTGTACACACTTCTATTGCAACTATCATGACACTTGTGATAATATTTAATTGCACTTATCTATTTATTTGTGTCTTTCTCCTCTGACTACACTTTGAGTTCCTTGAGGTGAATTGCTATGTCTTATTTCTCATATTATGCCCAACACTCTCGCACTATCCCTATGTTTTGAGAAATAGTAAGAAAGAAGGCAGGACCTAGCAAGGTGGTGGGTGATGTGGCCAAAAAGCCATCCTGTCATCACCATATGCATTCACCATCATCACCACCAGGCCCCTCAGTCCTGTTTCTAACCTCCTTCCAGTGATTAATCTTTGGAGGCTGAGGCCAACCCAAGACCTCTAGGAGCTTCCACCAGTCAAAACAACAAGTACATTGGCATGTCCATCTTATAATCCTCCTTCAGAAAATGCACTTAAAAATGAGGAAGACAGTCTTGGCTACCTTATTGCTCAACACCATCTGGTTAGGTGGCACAGTGCCCACTGGCAAAGTCAGCTCCTTACTGCCCTGAACATTCCAGATTGTGCAGCAGGGTAAACTTTCTCTCATAGTCAACATTGGGAAGTCTTCTAAATCATCATTAGTATCTCAATCATCCGTTTTCCTATTTCAGTTCCCAACTCGATGGCAGCGATATTTCTCCACAATATCATTGTGATCTCCTAGCTGCCCCTAAAGACAATCAGAATGGTTTATTAGGGCAAAAAAAGGGGCAATGTCCACTTCTTTTATCCCTTTTCTGTGATAAGGAGAGCAGCAATGAAGTAGTCTATCCCCAGGAAACACTGATTAGCATCCTGAAGTGTGTCCTGTTGACATAGTAGACACTGAGACCCTAAATCAAACTATTTTAGAAGTGATTAGTCATAAACTATGCCTCACATTTAAATGATGATTTCCTTTACGTTCAGAAGAAATCTTTGGATCAACAGTAGAAATAGAGATGGAAGAGGAAGTCACATGGTACTTCTTGTTGGCACAGTTTTTTGTTAGAATGTAAACATCTAGGGAATAATGCTATGATGATGAAAGACAGCTAACAGTATAGATAATGCTGAAGATGAGAAACTTTGAACAGCCTTATACAAGTGTGTCCTATGCCTAAAAAAGAGAGAGAGAGAGAGAGAAGAGATAACCATGTAACACAGACAGCTGTAAGGGACCAAGGGGGGATGGAAGGTGGAAAAAGTATCTTACACATAATCAGTACTGTTAATAATAGTTAATTTCCCTATAGGTAATTCTAGCTGTTTAGTCAATTGAAGGCAATTTTATTAAAATTGAAAACAAACAAAGCACATTCCAAAGTAAATATACTAGAGAATTGTATGAAAACATGTCTCTACCTCTGCCTTCCTTTACTATTTGGAAAGCAGAGTCAAAAAGAGATAGAGTTGGACAGAAAGAAACTTTCACCTTTGAAGATTCTGCTGAAAGTCTACTTCTCTATGAGGTCCCTCTTAACCATTGCAACCTGAAGTGACCTATCCATCCCTGAATAACTTTGCATTTTACAATATCCTATACTGACTTTCATTATTAAATATCTTTTAAAGATTATAGCATTCTCTCCTCAATTAGGCACAAGGTTCTTGAGGACAAAAACTGTTTTTCTCCACATTTCCTAATATGGTGATTTAACATAGCAGATACTCAAAATAACTCTGGTGGCATAGTGCCTAAGGTTTTGACTTCTAGCAAGAAGGCTGGTGGTTAAAACCCACCAGCCACTCCTCCAAAGTAAGATTGGACAATCCACTTCTGTAGAGATACCGCCTCAGAACCCCAAAGAGGGGTCACTATGAGTCGAATCTCCTTGTTGGCAGTGAGTTTGGTTTTTGGGTAAATAACCCCCAAATCACAAATCTGATTTTGCGATACAGTATATGAAATTTAAGAAATAAATTTATATCCGTGTTAATGCTTTATGGCTTGTGTTTTCCAATTCTTGAATACAAGTTAGGTGGGCTGTGGAATGGGTCCCCTCTGTAGAAATCGAGATGAGTTTTTACATTTATCATGTCAGTGAAGAAGTTTCCACATGGAATTAAAATAAACTGGATTATTGAGAGTTTACGTAAACACTAAGCGATAATGCAGATTTAATTTCTTAAGAGCCTGGAACGTGTTTTCCGGAGGCCTGAAGGAGCTGGCCGTCTTAGTGTTTGAAGTTAATTGACCCATGGCCACCCTCCATTTGATACCACTTTGGGAACTTTTCGCTTTCTTGGAAAACAAGCTCTCTACAAGCTTTCGGCTTCAAACCCAAGGCAGCTGATGCTGTCGCAAGGCTCCTGCATCACCAGGTGGCGCCGTTTAGAGTTGCACCTCCCTTGAGCTCCTACTATCCCATCATGCCTCTCTCTGGTGACGTCGTCCCGGAAGGTGTCGCCAGCGACTCGCTGGCTGGCCTCCCTGACAGAAATTGGGGCTGCGGAGCGCACTGGACTGTGGGCCCGAGTCAGCTGTGGATGCAGCGGAGGGCTAGCGGAAACGACACCAGATCAGTCCTCCACTACCGGTTTCTGATCGGTTTCTACTGACCGCAGGCCGTGGGTATTTGTAAGTGTTAGGGACATGACGATCCCTGCACCACCCTCCTTGAGACAACCCAGAGACACCGCCCGCCTTCCCTGCCCGCGACTGTGCAATGAAGGCAACCGTTTTTCAGAAGTATCGCCGGAAAGGTCTAGGATACGTTGGTGGCAGTGAAGGAGCAAACAGCAGCCCCAGCTTTGCAGTGCCTGTAGGACTTTGAGGGACCGAACTCCTGCTTGATTTCCTGAATAGCACCCCAGATTTTTTCACTCCAGGACGCAGCCTAACTCCCCCTTGTCCAGCTCTGAAGCTCCTATACTGTAAGTAGAAAGAGGACAGCCATCTGGGGGAGCCACCTGGTTCTTTTAGCCATGAAGGCAGAGACTGTGCCCCCAAGCCAGGGGACCCCAGCTGAGTCCAGCTGTAGCCTTAATAACCTGTTGGGTAGCCGAAAGCTGATAGCTATGGGGATTGTGCTTTGCTGGCTCTTGATCATTCACATTCTGGTCAATGTGTGGCTTCTTTTCCTTCTGTCTGCATTGCTAGTGGTGCTGGGAGGATGGCTGGGCTCAAATGCCATTGTGAATATTACAGGTCGACTGCACCTGGAACGCTTCATCCCAGTGGCTGTCTGCCCACCAAGCCCAGAGGCAGAGAGGCAGCTGGAACAGGAAATCAACCGTACCATCCGGTTGATTATTCGAGACTTTGTGTCATCCTGGTATCGCTTAGTGAGCCAGGAGCCAGCCTTTGAGGAAGAGATGGAGGCAGCCATGAAAGGGTTGGTCCAGGAGCTCCGAAGGAGAATGAGCATGGGGGACAGTCATGCTCTTGCCCAGAGGCTTCTGACTCTCTGTGGTTGTCATCTGCAGAGCTATATTCAGGCAAAGGCAGCCACTGCGGGGAAGCCCAGTAATGCAACTGAGCCCTCCCAGCTCTGGGAGGCTTACTGCCAGGCTACTGCCCCACATCCTGCTGTGAAAAGCCCCAGCTCTGAGGTCACCCATACTCGTGGCATTGTTGATGTGTTACTTCGAGGACTAGTGCCTAAACCTCATTTGGAGACCCGGACTGGACGCCATGTAGTGGTTGAACTAATTACTTGCAATGTAATCTTACCATTGATCAGCAAGCTATCTGATCCTGACTGGATCCACCTTGTACTTGTAGGCATCTTTTCCAAGGCCAGAGATGATCCAGCGGAAGAATCTGAACCACTCTGCCCAGCCAGTGCTCTGGAATTGCCCTCAGTGTCCACATGTCTGCCACTGATTGTTGAAGTAGAGAGATTGCCAGAAAGAAGAGCTCCTTCTCCAGTATCAGCCCCAGTGCTCCTAAACTGTAGTGAGCCAGAGGGGCCTTCAGACCCCACTCCAGAGGTTGTAGAAGGCCAGGAAGCTATAGAGGGAGATTCCGGTGGCATTCTAGAAGAAAGAAAAGTAGGAAGCAACTCATCTCATTTTCTACAGCCAAATACTCAAGACCCCCTGTTTTTATGTGAAGATTCAGAGCTGGAGTCTCCACTCTCTGAAATGAGCAAAGAAACTCTCATGCTTATGACCCCAGGCAACTTCCTCTCTGACAGGATCCGAGATGCCCTGTGTGCTCTAGGGGACTCCCAGGTTCTGGAGCCTAAGGATAGTGAGGGATCAGAAGGAATTGAAGCAGAGGCTGAGGAGGATCCAGGGACAGAAACAGAGACACACCTGCTTGTCTCCATGCTGAATGCCTGCCCAGAGATACATATTGACACAGTAGACAAGACTGTAGAGCAAGGAGATGCCACTTCTCTTACAGTTTTGCCAGAAGGACCAGATATAACCTGCCTCCAACGACCTTCATGCTTACAGAAGGATCTCACAAATAGTGTGAGCTCCCTTGATTCTAGTCTGCCACCGGTTCTGCTTTCCTCCTCTCCAACCAGCTCTCTCAGCTCAGCCACCTTCAGCTTTGAGTCCCTCAGCAGTCCAGATGGCCCAGTTATCATCCAGAACCTTCGTATCACTGGTACCATTACTGCCCGCGAGCACAGTGGTACTGGCTTCCACCCGTACACACTCTACACTGTCAAGGTAACGAGATTAGGGTTGTCACTGCTGTGGGCTGGGAATGGGTTCAGAATATAGAGAGACAGTGAAGCTAATGTTCTCAGAGAGAGAAACTACTCTTAGTTTGCTCTGATTCATTGAACAAACATTGGTATGTAAATTATTTTAATCTAAATTTGTAAGGGAGAATAGGCTCTTATCCTATTGCCACAGAAACAATCCTAGACTCTCAGCGTTGTAAGGATACTCAGGGTCACATTTTTCTGTGGTTCCTAAACTTGGCTGCCCTTCAAAATCACTTGGGCTGCTTTGTAAATAATACGGATGCTGACAGGGTCTGACATACTCTGAGAATTTCATGGATGGGCTTCGGAATTCTGTACAATTTTTTTTAAAATATAACTGTCCAGGTGATTTGGATACAGCCTATCCTTAAGCTAGTTTTGGGGAACTGCTGCTTTTGTCTAACCATCTTTCTGATATTTAACCCTCTTCATATCATCTCTGCCACATAATTTCCAAGTCTTTGCTTGAAGACCTCCAGAAATGAGGAAGTTGCTACCTTCTGGGGTATGCATAGATAAAAATTTACTTTGCCAATACAAAGTATTAGTAGTAGTTTAAAAAAAAAAAAGTTATCAGGAAAGAATTTTGGAGAGAGAATTTCTGGGCAAGGCCCCTATCCTTTAGATTTTACTTGCCTTCTCCTTGAATTTTTCTTGCTCTTAGTTCAAAAACTACTACCATGTACAATCCTCATTGTTGTACTCCTCGTTAACTCTTAATCCATGTAATTGGGAAAAGGTCTTTTCCTTAATCTTAACACAGCTGGAGCATGAACCTAGCATTTTGAAAAGTAATGTGAAATTTTCACATAAGACAAAATGGGAATAATTACAATTACACACACAAATTCCTTCTAAACTAGACCTTTTGTGAGTGCAAAAGTTTGGTCATATAATAACTCATACTAGACTCAAAGACTGGTATAATTTGTTAACATTTGCCTGACATTTTCCTTCCTAATTCTGGATTTCCATATGACAGGTACCTTTCTCACATGTTTTCATCTTCTGTTTATAAAATATTCTATCACTGAAATTAAACAACACCTTTTTTCCTCATTCGCAGAAACAAATTAAGCTGAAGAATAGAATTTTTAAAATTCATATTCTTTCTCCCATTATTTATTCCTTTTCTTTATTGTTAAATTTTGCCACGTTACTACTTATTTGCAAGAGAGCATTAGAGAAAGGAAAAATGAAAAATGAACAGCAAAATAATATAGCCAATTGTGTGTAATTTCAGAGAATAAGCTTAGATTTTTTATATAGACATATAATAACTGATTTCAAATTTTTGTATATTGATATTATTATACGTTCTGATGGTATAATAATACCAGTTTATGTGACAGAAGTGAAAATACCCATATTGAGTAATGTCCCTCAAGAAGCACAGTATTCTACAGAAAGCCTCATAACTCCAGTTGCTCCAAGTTTGAGAACCCCCCCCCCACTGAAACCCACCTGTATTTCTTACTTAGATCTTTCCTTTTCAATACTGGTCTGAGGGATCACACAGTTCATAATGAATACCTCTTGCTCTCTGACTCTGAAAATACTTTAAAACACCAACCTGAAGTACTGCCAATAGGAAGTAATTTTTATTCATTACTTGCCCATAGTATTTATTATACCTCAACCAAATAACTGTAACCTAGTTTTAATAAGAATAAGCACATATGTAGTTCTCCTACAGGTTTCATTATATCTTTGAACTCCTCTGTCAAGAATTTTCCCCTATGTTCAGTTGTAACTTTATTGTTGTTTGGGGTATTCACCCTCTTCTTCAGGGACATGTAGTAAAGTCATCTTTTCCTGAATACTGCTAAGCTTATAAATACAGCAAACTTTCTGCCCTTACAGCTTCTCCAATTCTTAAGATCATACAGATGATGAGTACTTAGGGAACAAAAAAAAGTTTAGCTTTAAGAATAACAATTAGGAAGATTAGTCTGCACAAAGGAAAACAGAAATCCATGTCCCTTTAATGCATTCTATACAAATGGTTTTTGTGCATCTGCTGTTTTGGATTATTTGTTCTTGCCTTAAATAATACAGATAATCAGTTGTTGTTGTTGTAAGGTGCCGTTGACTTGGTTCCGACTCATAGCGATCCAGTGTGCAACAGAACAAAAGATTATTCAGTCGTGCACCAGCCTCATGATCCTTGCTATACCTGAGCCCATCACTGCAGCCATTGTGTCAGTCCATTTTGTTGAGGGCCTTCCCCTTTTGCGCTAACCTTCCACTTTACCAAGATGATATCTTTCTCCAGGGAATGGTCCCTTCTGACAACATGATCAAAGTAGGTGAGACAAAGTCTGGCCATTCTCACTTCCAAGGAGCATTCCAGCTGTACTTTTTCCAGGACAGATTTGTTTATTCTTCTGGCATTCCACAGCTCAAAAGCATCAACTCTTCTTCAGTCTTCCTTATTCATTGTACAGCTCTCACATGTGTATGAGATGATTGGAAACACCGTCACTTAGGTTAAACTAACTCCAGGTCTTTGCACATTTCATTATAATGACTTTGTTTTCTCAAGCTGCTCTTTGAACTCTTCTTCTCAGCTCTTTTATCTTGTCATTTCTTCCATTTGCTTTAGCTACTCTCCATTTGAAAGCAAGTTTCAGAGTCTCTTCTGACATCCATTTTGGTCTTTTCTTCCTTTCCTGTCTTTTTAATGACCTTTTGCTTTCTTCATGGATGATGTTCGTGATGTCATCCCACAATTCATCTGGTTCTTCGTCACTGGTGTTCAGTGCATCAAATATGTTCTTCACATGGTCTCTAAATTCAGGTGGGATATAATTTAGGTCATATTTTTGCTCTCATGAACTTGTTTTAATTATCTTCAGCTTCAACTTGAACTTGCTTGTGAGCAGTTTTTAGTCTGCTCCACAGTCAGCTCTTGGCCTTGCTTTGGCTGTAGGTATTGAGCTTCTCCATCACTTCTCTCCTCAGATACAGTCAATCTGATTCCTGTGTATTCCATCTGGTGAAGTTCACATGTATAGCTGCCATGTACATTGTTGACAAAAGGTATTTGCAATGAATATAAGTCATTGGTCTTGCAAAATCCTATCATGTGATTTCCAGGGTCATTTCTATCACCAAGGCCATGTTTTCGAACTACACTTCCTTCTTTCCAACTTTTACATTCCAATCACCAGTGATAATTAACCCATCTTGATTGCACATTCAGTCAATTTCAGACTGCAGAAGCTGATAAAAATCTTCAGTGTCCTCATCTTTTGCTTTGGTGGTTGGTGCATAAATTTGAATAATAGTAGCATTAACTGGTCTTCCTTGCAGGTGTATGGATATTATCCTATCACTGACAGCACTGAACTTCAGGATAGGTCTTGAAACATTCTTTGTGATGATAAATGCCACACAATTCCTCTTCAATTTGTCATCCCCAGCATAGTAGATCATATGATTGTCTGATTCACATGGCCAAAACTAGACCAGTTCAGCTCACTAATGCTTAAAATATCGATCTTTATGTGTTCTATTTCATTTTTGAAAACTTTCAATTTTCCTAGATTCTTACTTCGTACATTCTGTGTTCTGATTATTAATAGATGTTTTCAACTGTTTCTTCCCATTTTGAATTGTGCCATATCAGCAAATGGAGGTCCCAAAAGCTTTACTCCACTGATGTTATTAAGTTTGATTCTACTTTGAGGAGGCACCTCTTCTCCAGTCATATTCTGAGTTCCTTCCAACCTTAGTGCCTCATCTTCCGGCACTATGTCAGAAAATGTTTCAGGACTGTTCATAAGGTTTTCCAGTACTATATCAGATAGTGTTTCACTGTTATTCATAAGGTTTTCACTGGCCAATTCTTTGAGAAGTGGATTGCCCCTTCCTTCTTATGAGTCTGTCTTAGTCTGGAAGCTCCACTGAAACCTGGTTTGAAACACCAGTGGCATAGCCTGCAGCTTCACAGCAATACACAAGCCACCACAGTTTGACAAACTGACAGGCGAGTGGTAGAGATAATCATTAGTAGATTGTAATTGTTGATATTTATCCTCTTATAATGTCCAGCACTCTAATTTAGGGGTGAATGAGGCCAAATCATGTTTATAGATGTTATGCTTTCTGTTTTATACTCTATCTTTGGGATTTGAAAAACAATTATGTAGCTATTTTTATAGGAAAGTATCTGTGATGGGGAGCTTTGGGATAGAAGTAGGAGTGGAAAGCAGTAAATCTTTTGGGGCTATGTATATTGAGAAGTGCTTTTCATTCCTTAATTCAACCACCATTGGAGTTTGAAATATTCGATACAGCCCCATGCAGCAATCATATATAGTAGTTTCTAGAAGAGAATAAGAATATCTACCTTCCTTCTACTCTTTCTTTACTTTTACTGTGTGGCCATTGAGAAAATAGTAGTCATTAAAGCCAGAATAGAAGATTGCCTAAGCCTGGCTAATTCAATCACCAAACTCATTCATTTAACAGTATGAGACATCCTTTGATGGTGAGAACACAAGTAGCCTACAGCAGTTGGCCTACCACACTGTGAATCGCCGCTACCGGGAGTTCTTGAATCTGCAGACCCGGCTGGAGGAGAAACCGGATCTACGAAAGTTCATCAAAAGTCAGGAGTTTCCCCAACCCTGGGCTACCTGCTTGCTTTCCACAGTTAGCCACCTTGGCCTGAGATCTTGGTGGATGATTGGTTTGTGGGAAGGGATGGAGGAAGGAAGTGTACCATCAAGGGTTCTTTGCTCCCTGGTTTGCCTCAGGAGTTAGGGTTTAGCTCTGGGCAGCACTGATCACATTTTGTCTGAGGAAGTCCTTTGCTTAAGAAAGACACTTTCACATTTCCACCTCTATCTCTGAGGTATTGTGAAGAATTAAGATAACTTTTCCAGATTCATAGATTGATCTCTCTTAAATATTAAAATATTATGTACAAATACTTGCCACCTTCTTTCCTTTAAAAACGAGGTTTTTTTTCTATCTGCTCTTCGACACCTGTAGGGCACAGGAAAGTAAGAAAATGTGACAAAAATTAAACTCTAGAAATAAGGTAGTAACTGACTGCTTTATTTTAAAAAAAAATATTGATGAGCACCCAAATAAACATTTTAATATGTTTAGGCATATATTCTTGATTTCAATTATGTATTTTATTTCTTAATAACAATAGTTAATATTAACCAAGATAGAAAATATATACCATGTTCTCTTAAGCCCTTTTTACATATTAGTTCATTTAACCCTCATTTAATAGCCTGTGAAATTATTCTAATTTTACAGAAAAGAAATGAAGTCAAAGAAAGACTAAGTAATTTGCCTAATCATTATTGTAATTGGGATTGGACCCAAAATTTAAACTCATGCAATTGGACTTCAGAGCTCCGATTCATAGCTACTATACTATATGGACACTTATTCCTTAATATTAGCATTAAAGAGAGCAGGATGTATATATTATACTCCTGGGCTATATAGAATTGGGTTGTAGAACTCCTGAAATAAAATATAAAGCAGGAAATAGATTAATCAGTTCTGTTTTCTTTATATGTATAATGTATTTCATATAGAAATCTCTTAGTAATTTTTTTTTTTTTTTCCCAAGATGTGAAGGGCCCTAAAAAGCTCTTTCCAGATCTTCCCTTTGGAAACATGGATAGTGACAGAGTAGAAGCCCGTAAGAGCCTTCTGGAATCATTTCTAAAGGTCAGCATCCTTCTTTTTAGCTATGCTGTCAGTCTAGCCACAACCAGACTCCCAAACCAAGGTGGAGAGATCTAGAGATCAAATTTCTTTTTAAAGTCTCTTGTCTTACTTTTGCAGCAATTATGTGCCATTCCTGAGATAGCCAACACTGAGGAGATGCAAGAGTTCCTCGCTCTCAATACTGATGCTCGTATTGCCTTTGTCAAGAAACCTTTCATGGTCTCCAGAATAGACAAGGTACCAGCAATGCCAGCATCCTCAGCCTTAGTTTGTATCTATTGAAAGAAGAGTCTTTTCAGCAGAATGGAAACAGTACTTAAAAAGAAGAGGACTTAACGGGTTTGGGGAGTGTGGAGAGGCAGCACAGAGGATCCAGCAGACCATAGACTAGAATTTTCAAGGCATGTTGCCAAGTAGTGGCTAGATGATCAACTTTCTGAATTACAGTGAGCAACTGTTAGGAAATAACACCCTGATAGTGTATGTGTACACATATCTCAAGGGAGTATTGGGATATTATTATTTGGGTGAAGGCATGTAAGGATACATTTGTACCTCAATAGATAGGTGGGGGCAGGAGGGTCCCTTCTGGAAGTGAAGGTCTGCTTCAGTATTGATCATTCAGGAAAGACAGCCCATAGTCAGGAATTTAAGTTGGATTTAGACTGGTAGTGATTCTTGGAGAACAGGAGTGGGAAGAGACCTGTTCCTTTATAGAAGGAAATTTGTCTTATGCATTGGAGACCCTAAAAGTGGTGGTCACAGGTATATATTAGGATACATGACCTTCATGTTTATCAAAAGGATGGCACATGTTTTTAAAAGTTGGCAAACACTTACTCATTGGCAGGAGAAGCTTCTTTGTATTCTCATCTAGACTTCAGTGAATCAAATGGACTTTGACATGGTAGGTCTATAGGAGATTGACTGGTATGTGGAAAAAATTGAAAACTAGAAGGGACTAGGTAAAATCCCCTGAATCCTGTGAGATTTATTGATTGGTCCCATCAACATTTACTTTCTTGGTGCCTGTTTGGAGCCAGGTCTGTACAAGTTCCTAGTGACACAATAGAGAAAAAGACAGATAAGTACCCTCTGTTCAAGGAGTACACCGATTACTGTTCTGCAAAATTAGAAAGCAAGTTGTATTTGCTAAACTACGGGCATTTGACTGCTAACCAGAAGGCTGGAGTTTCAAACCCACCAGCCACTCCTCCGAAGGAAAACTGGGCAATGTACTTCCATGGAAATACCGCCTCAGAAATCCAAGGAGGGGTCACTATGAGTCGAATTCGACTCAATGACAGTGAGTTTTAGATTACCTATATTGACGCAGTCCTCTGTGTTCTTTCCCTGGTTTACTATCCCCTAAAAAAACAAAAAGCCAAACATGTTGCTGTCAAGTCAATTCCAACTTAAAGTGCCCCAATAGGACAGGCCAGAACTGCCTCCTGGATTTTTCATAGCTGCAATCTGTATGGAAGCAAACTGCCACATCTTTCTTTTGTGGAGCAGCTAGTGGGTTCAAACTGCCAAATTATCGATAAGCAGATGAGTACTTTACCACTGTGCCACTAGGGCACCTTCTATTATTTCTTAGCCCTTACTCAAGCCTTAATTAACCATATCATCCTTGTCTTAGTTGTGCTTGTAGAAGATTAACAGGAGAATGAATTGAAGAAGGACAGCACTGCTTTGAGGTCACAACAATCAAACCCACTGCAATTGTACCAATTCTGACTCATAGTGACCCAATAAGACAAAGTAGATCTGTCCCATATGGTTTCCAGAGCAGAAACAGACTCCCTTATCTTTCTCCCATGGACCGGGTGGTGGATTCAAACTGCCCACCTGTTAGCAGCCAAATGTTTTAACCACTGAGTCACCAGAGCTCCTTTCTCTGAAGCCAGCAGTGTCTTAATTAGTAACAAGCACCAAAGGAAAAGTAAGTATTTTCATCTATACCTTTGATATTTTAGGGTTTTATTTATTTATATGTTTTCCTTTTTCACTAAATATCTATCATATTCCTATCCTGGAAACAAATAATTCATATTCTTCAATGACAATGGTTATTACTAGAGGAGTTCTATATCAACTCCAGATAACTAATTTTGATCTGAGTGATTTTTGTTATTCTGTACCTAAAGAAAATAAACTGTCTCATACACACACATCTCTTTGACTAAAAAGACCAAATTCTTACTGTGTAGATTACTGTGAGCATATTTATATCATATATGCCTCTAGATTTATTGCTTATTTTGATAATCTTCACTCTTTCCTCTTTCTATATACTCCTACCTGTTTTACTTCTATTTATTCACACTTTGGTGGAAATATAAATTTGGAAACTGAAAAACACTCTTTCATAAAAAAGGAGAAAAATAAGAAATGTAAAGTACCTCACCAGTCTGCCAAACTCTTAATTATCATTTATCTTGCTATTTCTCTTGGCTTCCCTTACCATGGCATTATTTGTCTTACTCTGTGAGGAAGAAGATTTTTATGGTCACAGAAAAAAGGAGCTACTTGTTACTAAGCCATTAACTGTTATTTTGACTATTCTGATGGATAAAGGTGTGCTGCATAGCTTGGCTATTGATGTTTTCTGATCCATAGAGTATTGAGACAACTTGCTTGTTCAGCTATTTCTGTCTGCAGGTATGAATAGTTTTACTAACCCTGCATCTCTGGCCTCTGCAGATGGTGGTGAGTGCTATCATGGATACCTTGAAAACAGCATTTCCTCGCTCTGAGCCCCAGAGTCCCACAGAGGAGCTGAGTGAGGCTGAGACAGAAAGCAAGCCCCAAACAGAAGGCAAGAAGGCTAACAAGTGAGAAGCCCTTCAGCTGCCCAAGGACTCTTTCTCAATTCTTAGGTTGATCCTCTGTCCTCAGCCACAGCCCACATCTGTGGTCAAGCTCTAGAGGAGAGGAAGTGAATCATATTTGCCAGTTTTCAAGCAAACCAAGACTCTAGTTCCTCAATACTGCATCCAGAAGAGCCTGAGAGGCTACATAGACAGCACTCCTTAATATTTGCTATTGTCAATAGGAATCAAAATGACCAGAAATTTTTTACTGGAAGGAAATTCTAAACTGTGAATATTCCCTCTTCTCTGTTTTCCTAGGAAACTGAGATATTCCTTTCCTACTAAGAATTAAGCATCTCTTTTTGCAATTATTTCTGGAAATCTTGGCTGAGAAGTTGCATAACTAGCAATACACAGGAAAGGGCTAGAATTGGAACCTATGGGGCCTATTTTAGAAGGTGATCGATTGGTGTTACTCACTACTGCACGAGGGCCCCAAATGACACCTGGGAGCACTCAAAGCCAATATATAGAAAGGCAGTATACTTATCCCTACTTCATGAATATCTAGACTTATGAAAAGAGAAAAGAGAGAGTGCATGTGTGTGAGCATATGGATCTGACTGTCTCCATCTCTATGTTCATGTTTCATGGGCCAGCAATAACAGACTCAAAGTTCTTAGCCCCTCCTTAAAACATTGAAGTTATCTTTTAATCCCTTCTCTGGGTTTATGGGGGGACATAAGATGAATGATGGAGTTGCAGAAAGGGATAAACACTTGTCCATTTGCTCAACAAAATTCTACTGTATGGAGATACAGCCATGAGAAACTGGTCCTTATTTTGTACTGACAAAAGCCCTCTCACATATGCTCTGTGCATGGAGTTACCAAAATATACATTTTTGGGGATTTCAGGTCCAAGTACTTCCTGGCACCTGTGACCACAGTAAGTTCTTGAGAATAAGTTTGGGTGTTCTTGTTTTGATATTTTAAAGCTTGTCAACCCTTTGTACAGAATCTGGACCATGAATTACATTCTATTCCTGCTTTTTGTTTGTTTCTGTCCCAGGTCCAGACTGAGGTTCTCATCCGGTAAAATTGCTCCAGCACTGAATATGACTGAAGCACATGAGAAGGTACTCTATTGTATCCAAGAAGGCAGTATGGTAAGAACCAAAGTCTACTAAGCTTCTGGAATTACTCACTAGAATGTTGATCCTGCAGTTGTGGATACTTGAGACATTTTCCAAAGTCAAAAAGGACTCAGGTACCAGTATCTATATCTCTAATTTTTATGCTGAGGATATGTTTTCTGTGAACAGTTTTGGATTGGCAGATTGGTTTTTCAAGAGCAGGGCATTAGGATAATAGAGACAGGATAAAAGAGAATGGTAGTCCCAGGCAAGAACAAATGACCAGAAGTGTTTGTTCAGGTGATAATCCAAAGACAGACTCATTTTACTTGCAACTTGGATAAAGAATAAAAATGGCTATAAAGGTGGTCACAGAATTGATTAGTTTTAACCCATGATTATTTTGAAGGGGACACCAGGGGAGAAGCCTAGAGTGCTGTATTTGCTCTCCTGCTTTCTATGTTCTTTATGTAATATATTAGTGGCTGTTTCTTCAGGAATCAGCGATCCTTTCCCTGTCCGGAATGGAATCTTTTATTGAAAAACAGAACAAGTTGTTAGAAATGCAGCCAGAGAAAGTCCCAGAAAATTATTCTGAACAAATTCCCAAAGGATGTGTGGATGGTTGCTTGTCAGATACAGCTGTGCCAACTTCTGACCTCAACAACAGTGATCCAGGTAAGTGACAAAGTCCCTGCTCCTACAGAGAATGGAATAGGGTATGATAATTTCATTTCTGTTCAGTTAATTAAGCCAAGTGTTGACACCAGTATTTGCAAAACTGTGTTCGGTGCTGGGATAGAAAAGTGAATGGGACATGGTCCCAAGAGCTGAGTCTAGCAGAGGAGGATAGTGTGGATATAGGAATCCAGTAAGAAAAGGCCTATAGTTGTAATGTTGTTATCTTATTTACATTATTTTTGGCATATTTTGTGATATCTTTGGACTAGTCCTTTCATCAAGAAACTTTCTTCCTTAGCGTCTGTGATGCCACTCTCCCATTTTTCTTTCTACCTCTCTAATGGTCCCTTTTCAGTCTCCTTTGTTGGCTTCCTTAGTAGTCTGAAAGAGTTTCAGTTTTGCGTCTCTCTTACTCTATGTGCTCTCCTTGGGTGATCTCATGCATACACTTGACCTTCAGCTCTAACACAAGTACTGATGACATCTATATAGATTTTTTGGTATATGTAAATCCCATTAGCCTCCTAGAAATCTGGACATGGTTATACAACTATAGCAACTAAATGCAACATGTTCAGAATGGAATTTATCTGTTTTCTTACATTTCTTCCTTCTTCTTGATTTACTGTCAAAGTAAATGACACCCCCTAGTTACCAAAGGGAGTTTGCTACTTTATCCTTATAGATATTTGAAGCACGGCAGGTATGTTGCTTCCCAGGAAAGTACAAATGTATTCTGTGGAGAAAAAAGTGGGAGCCTGGGTAATATCCTATGTTTTCTGAATTAGAAATTATAACAAGAAAGTTTGTTGATCCCACCATCAACAGATCACCTGACTGCTCCTCAATGAATTTAAATTCAACTACATGAAAAATAGGGTTTATAACCCCTTCCCTGTACTCATACCTCACTGGTTCAGTACTTGAACTAGCATGGAAGCATCAGAAACTATAAGAAATTATAAATAAAATGAGATGGTTAAAATCATATCATTCTAACTAAGGTCAAGTCTGGAAGCTACACATCATATTTCCAAAGTAATCGTTTGTGCTTTCTGCCAACGCTGATAGCTTCAAAAGTCTAAAATGCTCTTATGATAGAAAATTTACCATTTTCTTCAGGACTTGGTGTCTTGTTTGCGTTCTTATTTTTACTGCCATGACTAATTGTCACCACATGATGGCAGCAATAGGCAAATGCTAGACCTGAGAAAATAATAGCATTGAAGAGGATGACAGGCTCAGGATGCTGCTGTTTCCCAAGAAACTGAATATCCAATCTTGGAACAAATGACTAGGAAGAAAGTATCATATCAGGTCCATGTCACCTTACGATACAGCACAGAAAGAGAAAGTCTGTATTAGATATGGCTAAGAGAGAAGGATTTAGTTCTAGCAGATCTATCCACTTCTGAAGTAATTCATGTTCTAAAGACCCTTAGGGGAGGAGTGGTTGGGTAGGGCTGACATAGAGAATACCCATTGGGTCTAGACTACCAAAGTTGTTGTTGTTGTTAGGTGCCAAAAAGTTGGCTCTGACTCATAGTGACCCTACGTACACCAGAATGAAACACTGCCTGGTCTTGCACCATCCTTGCAGTCCCTGCTGTGCTTGGGCCCGTTGTTGGCAGCCACTGTGTCAGTCTATCTCGTTGAGGGTCTTCCCTTTTTTTTTGCTGACCATCCACTTTACCAAGCATGATATCTTTCTCCAGCTGCTGGTCATTTCTGACAACATGACCCAAGTAGTTGAGATGAGGCCTGGCCATTTTTGCTTCCAAGGAGCATCCTGGCTGCACTTCTTCCTGGACAGATTTGTTTCTTCTGGCAGTCCATGGTATTTTCAGTGTTCTTTGCCAACACCACAATTCAAAGGCATCAACTCTTCTTCATTCTTCCTTATACATTGTCCAGCTTTCACATGTATATGAAGCAATTGAAAATACCTTAATTGTTAGGCACTCCTTAGTCTTCAAAGTGACATCTTTGCTTCTTAACACTTTAAAGAGGTCTTTTGCAGCAGATTTGCCCAGTGCAATAAGATATGTGATTTCTTGACTGGTGCTGCCATGGCTGTTGATTGTGGATTCAAGTAAAATGAAATATTTGATGACTTCAGTCTTTTCTCCATTTATCATGATGCTGCTTATTGGTCCAGTTGTGAGGATTTTTGTTTTCTTTATATTATGTTCAGTATATGTAATCTATACTGAAGATTGTATTCTTTAATCTTCATCAGTAGGTATTTCAACTCTTCTTCACTTTCAGCAAGCAGGGTTGTGTCATATGCTTATCATAGGTTGTTATTGAGTCTTCCTCCAATCCTAATGCCATGTTGTTTGTATAGTCCAGTTTCACAGATTATTTGCTCAGCATACAGATTGAATAAGTATGGTGAAAAGATACAACACTTACGTACACCTTTCTGATTTTAAACCATCCAGTATCTCTTTATTCTGTTCAAACCACTGCCTTTTAGTCTGTGTACAGGTTCTGCATGAACACAATTATGTGTTCTGGAATTCCCAATCTTTGCAAAGTTATCCATAATTTGTTATAATCCACACAGTCAAATGCCTTTGCCTAGTCAGAAAAACACAAGTAAACATCTTTCAGCCAAGAATCATATCAGCAGTGATATCCCTAGTTCCATGTCCTGTTCTGAATCCACCTTGAATTTCTGGAAGTTCCTTGACTATAATCATTTTTTAATTATTTTCAGCAAAATTTGACTTGCATGTGATATTACTGCTGTGGTTCGATAATTTCCACATTCTGTTGAATAACTTTCTTTGGAATAGGGACAGATATGGATGTCTTCCAGTCAGTTTGCCAGGTAGCTATCTTCCAAATTTCTTGGCATAAATGAGTAACCGCCTGCAGTGCTGCATCCATTTGTTGAAACATCTCAATGGGTATTCCATCAATTCCTAGAGCCTTGTTTTTTGCCAGTTTCTTCAGTGCAGCTTGGACTTCCTCCTTCAGTACCATTGGTTCTTGATCATATAGTATCTCCTGAAATGGTTGAATGTTGACAAATTCATTTTGGTACAGTGGCTCTGTGTATTCCTTCCATCTTCTTTGATGCCAGAGTTATTATTGATAGTTAATCATAATATTTATCACAGTAATAGCACCAGATATCTCAAGATTTATTGTAGAACATTATGTGCTCTTGGGAAAGTCTCCTAAGAAGCAAATCAGAGATGACAGGGGACCCCTGAATAAGGCTAGAGAACAGATGCTTCTGCCCATAAAATGAACACATCTCTTCAGAAAATTTAAGCATACCATAGGCATGAGCTCATTGTGGCCTTTCTGTTCCTCAGTAGGAAAAATGTCATTAATATTCATGACATTTACCAGAGGTGTGCTATTCTTCCAAGAACCACCTGTTATCTTAACATCACACTAAGCCTCCTGAATCCCAGCCCTACAGCTTTGTGTAATGGAGGACTTTTCAAAGCAAGCTTTTGCAAGAGAATGAAGCCCAACTCTCCCCAAATCTGCTGCTTATCTTTCCATGATGCTTTGTAGGGGTGAATGGAGAGTAAAAGTGGAAGAGACTTGCCTTTGCTGATTCCAGTTAGTCACCAGTGGTGAGAACTTATCGGGAACAAAATGTAATCAGCATTCTGTGGAAAATAGAAGAAACAAGCTAGCTAGGCAAAATAATTATATGCAAAATCTTGGGAAAAAATAACAATGTAGTACAACAGAATATCTGGAACACAAACAAAAGAAATGTAAAGAAATACAGAGCCTAGCATGAATTTTGTGGATAAGAAGGAAATATTTCTTAGCTTGATTTGAGTGCAGAGGGACTACAGAAGTGTAAGATGGTCAATATGAAGGTAGAGAAGACCCAGAACCACCCAATGTGCACTGAAATATGTTCCTCAAGTGTGAGTGTTATCTGAGTCTTTTTTATGCCTTTTTACCTCCCTCTTTCCTCCAGAGACAGAGACAGAGACAGAGTTAGCTGACACAGCCATTAATCTTCTCCTCTTGTTGCTCATGGAACAGTGGAGATGGCTATGTACTGAAAATATGCAGAAAGTTCTTAATCTGATGTTTGGAACCCTAATTCAGAGGTAAGACTACTGAGTTCTTATTCACATTAGAATCTCAAATTGGACAGACATTGCATGTAATGCTGAATTCTGCAGTAGAAAGGGTAAGTATAGAGTCTAGGGAACCGTGGGGCCTTGAGGAAAGATAGATTCTCTGTTAAAGACTGCCTGGTGAGTATCAGAAAGTTTTATTAACCACCTGGTTGGTTTGAATGTAGCTGGTTTTATAAGGCATAACTCATAGAATAAAAACTATGCTTATGATCCTAAAATACTTTAACTGAACTTCTCTTCCTCCAGGATCAATTCTCCATGCATTTATACCCCACAGCCCTATACCATTCACCTTTTTACCATGGACATTTATTTCTCTTAGCTGACAATATAGTCACTGTAACGATAAACAATGGAAAAGACAAGAAGAGAATCAGTCAGTGCTAGTGAAGTATTGTTTTCTCCAAGGGAAGCACAAATATTCACAATTAAAGAAGTACTTAAAAACATGGGATAATAAAGACTATGTTGTTGTTGTTTTTATGTGCCATCGAGTCGGACCTGACTCATAGCGACCCCTCCTTGGGTTGCTGAGGTGGTATCACCACGGAAGTAGATTGCCCAACCTTCCTTCTGAGGAGTGGCTGGTGGGTTTGAACCTCCAGCCTTCTGGTTAGCAGTCAAGTGCCTTAGGCACTACGCTACCAGAGCTCCCAATAAAGACTATAAGTATGCTTATATTTGAAACTTGGATTTTTATAATTCCAGCTTTATAATACCAGCACTGTTTGCATTTCCTGAGAGCTGTGAACATGGATAGAATCTTTAGGTGCTACCTTCCTGCCCATGGGAGGGATTCAAGCTTCACTTAACTGAAGAAAGCCAGAGGCAATCTCTCTACTAGGCAAACATATGAAGGTCTTGGGCTTGGCCGCTCATATTCTGATCTCTCATATGATATCCTGGCTGATCCCAAAGTAAGAAGTCAAATCCTGACCTTTTCCACAAATATGTGGAAAAGCTCATTCAAAATATAATACCTTATTTTTCAAAAAAGAATTGTGTATGTTTTTCACAATCCAATCAATTTAAATCTCCCTTCCTACAGGATCAGTGAGACTTAATAGCTTTAATCCTAAAGGGACTATGTGAAAGAGGATGCACATTTATATTTATGGGCTAGCATTTGAGGTCTATTTACAGTTTTTTGTTTTGTTTGTTTGTGTGTTTGTTTGTTTGTTTTTTAATATTAACCAAATGAGGTAGGTATCCTCATTTCTACAGGATAGGAAAGAATTGGAAAGGTCAAGGAACATGCCCAAGGGCACAGTGAAACAACTAGAAGTTAGAGCTGCCTGTGTATGGCTCCAAAGACAGTATGTTTTGCCTACATGTCATAGCACTAAGCATGGTCTTTGAATGAGGCACCCATGTAAAGTGCCAACCAGTCTCTTGCCTGTAGGCTTTCCCCCTTGCCCCTAATCCAAACTTTGCCACCAGAGGTTTTTTTTCTGAAAAGCAAATCTGATTATCTGTTCTCCACTTAAAATCCTTCAGTAGTACCCTGTTGCCTATGAAAGTGATTTTTAAAATATGTTTCCTGGAGTTCTAGGATTCCACAGGTGTGTTTCAGAAGGTAATTTTGAGGCTAAGGAAACAATTGAGTGGACCATGATTTAACCAAAGCAGTTCTGCTTTAATGATTTTAATAGACTGGGGATCTAGGTTAGGTTTTGTTTGAAAAAAGATCTCTACTGTGTTAAATACTCATTTAGAGTGTAAAATTCTAACTCCTTTCTTTCTTGACATGATTTGGCCCCAGCTTTATTTCCCCTTCCTCGTACAAACTATCTCATTGCCTGAACTTTCTGTGGTCTCTCTTCCTCCAGGCCTTTGCACATCCTGTTGTCTCTTTTTGAATGACCCTTCTCTACTCATTTTCTTCTACTTCTTGCCTTTGCCCCAACTTTCCATCTCCTTGTCTACTTTTCTTACTGTTAAGCATCTTTTGAAAAAGCATTAACTGTCATTTAATGTGAAAATGTCATTTTATTCTGTGAAACCTTCTGTGGAATCTACCACATTGCCTCAGAATTAAGGAGATATCTCTAGTCCCAAAGTTTGGGTAATAATATTTATCAGTTTGTTTATCCATTCTCCCATTGATGGGCATTTAGATTGTTTCTATCTCTTTCCTATTGTGAATAGTGCTGCAGTGTACATGGGTGTGCATATGTCTGTTCATGTCTCAGCTTTCACTTCTTTAGGATACATACCTAGTAGTGGGATTGCTAGATCAAATTATTTTTCTATTTCCAACTTTTTAGGGAAGTGCCATACCATTTTCCACAGTGGTTGCACCACTTTACAGTATCCCTAGCAGTGAATGACAGTTCTTATCTCTCCACACCCTTGCCAGCATTTGTTGTTTTCTGTCTTGTTGAACTTTGCTATTGCTGGGGTGAGATGATGTCTCATTGTTTTGATTTGCATCTCTCTAATGGATAATTCGGAAGGAAGATGGGGCAGTCTACTTCCGTAGTGATACTGCCTTGGAAACCCAAGGAGGGGTCACTATGAGTCGGGTCCGACTCGACGGCACATAACAACAACAATGGCTAATTAAGGAGTTCTGGTGGCATACTTAACCTAGAATACTGTACTTAACCTAGGCACTTGACTGCTAACCAGAAGGGTGGTGGTTCAAACCTACCAGCCACTCAGAAAGAAGGTTGGGCAATCTACTTCCGTAGAGATACTGCTTCGGAAACCCAAGGAGGGGTCACTATGAGTCAGGTCCAACTCAATGGCACATATCAACAACAACAACAATGGCTAATTAAAGGAGATTGATGGTGTAGTGGATTGGCATTTGATTGCTAACCAGAAGTTTGGCAGTTCAAACCCAATAGTTTATCCATGGGAGGAAGATGAGGCAATCTACTTCTGTAAAGATTTACAGCCTTAGAAACCCACTGGGGGTTACTATGAGTCAGAATTGATGAGATGGCAGTAGGTTTGGTTTGGTTTTGAATGGGTAATGATCGCAAGCATTCCTACATGTGTTTTGTTGGCTGCATGAATATCTTCTTTGAAGTGTCTGTTCATACCCATGTTTTAATTGGATTGTTTGTCTTTTTGATGTTGAGATGTTGAAGTTTTCTATAAATTTAGGAAGAAACAGGCTTGTTGGATATGTCATTGCAAATATTTTTTCCCAATCTGTAGATTTTCTATGATGTGCATAAGAATTTAATTTTTAGAAGGCACCAATCATCTATTTATCTTCTTCCATTTGTGCATTTTTGAATATATTTCATAGTCTATTTATACCATATATGATGGCCCCTAAGTTTGCCCCTATTTTTTTTTTTTTTCATGATCATTATAGTTTTTCATTTAGGTCTTTGATCCATCATGAGTTAGTTTTTGTATATAGTATGAGGTGTGGATCTTGTTTCATGTATTTGCAAATGGATCTCTAGTTTTTCCAGCACCATTTGTTGAAGACCCTATCTTTTCCCCACTTAATGGATTTCAGCCCTTTGTCAAAGATCAGCTCTCCATAGGTAGATAGATCTAATTCTGGGTTCTCAATTTTATTCCATTGGTCTATGTGTCTGTCATTGTAACAATACCAAGCTGTTTGACTACCATGGCTGTATAGTAGGTTTTGAGATTGGTAAGTGTGAGTCTTTCTATTTTTTATTCTTCTTCAGTAGTGCTTTGCCTATCTGATGTCTCTTTTCTTTCTGTATAAAATTAGTGATTGGTTTTTCCATGTCCTTAAAGAATGTTGATGGAATCTGGATTGGGATTGTATGGTATCTACAGATTGCTTTGGGTAGTATTGACATTTTTACAGTGTTCAGTTTCCTATCCATAAGCATGGTATATTCTTCCATTTATGTAGGTCTCTTTCATTTTCTTGTAATAGTGTTTTATAATTTTCTTTGTACAGTACAGATCATTTATGTCTCTAGTAAGATATATTCCTAAGTATTTTATCTTTTTGGTAGCTGTTATAAATGGAATTGTTTTCCTTATTTCCTTTTCAGAGGTCTCTTTGTCGATGTAGAGGAATCTGACTGATTTTTGTCTGTTGATCTTGTACCCTGCCGCTTTGCTGAACCTTTCAGTTAATTCCAATCATTTTCTTGCTGAGTCTTAGGTTTTCTGTATATAGGATCATATCATCTGCAAATAGGGATAGATTTACTTCCTCTTTACCAATTTGGATACCTTTTATTTCTCTTTCTTGCCTTATTGCCCTGGCTAGGACTTCCAATACAGTGTTGAATAGGAGTGGTGATAGGGAGCCTCTTTGTCTGGTGCTTGTTCACAAGGAGAATGCTTTCATTTTTCCTGCATAAGGATAATGTTGGCTGTTGGTTTTGCATATATGCCACTAATTATATTGAAAAATTTCCCTTCTGTTCCAATTTTACTGAGAGTTTTGATCAGGAATGTTTGTTGAATATTATCAAATGCCTTTTCTCTATCAATTGATATAATTTTGTGGTTCTTTTCCTTTGCTTTATTTATGTAGTGGATTATGTTGATTGTTTTTCTAATGTTGAAACATCCTTGCATACCTGGTATAAACTGCATTTGGTCATAATATATTACTTTTTTGATAAGTTACTATTGGATTCTGTTGGCTACAGTTTTGTTGGAGATTTTTACATCTATATTCATGAGGGATATTTGTCTATAATTTTCTGTGCTAGTGATGTCTTTGCCTGACATTGGTCTCAGGGTCATCCTTACTTCATAAAATGAATGTGAGAGTATTCTGTCCTGTTCTATGTTCTAGAATAATTTGAGTAGAATAAATGTAAGCTCTTATCTGAATGTTTCGTAGAATTTTCCAATGAAGTCATATGGGCCAGGACTTCTTTTTTCATTGTTGGGAGTTATTTTATGACCTGTTCAATTTCTTCTTTTGTTATGGGCCTGTTCAAAATTTCTACCTCAATCTCTGTTAATTTGGGTAGTTCATGTGTTTCTAGAAATTTGTTCATGTC